GGAGCAAACGCTGGCGGTAAGTTGTTGCTTTGGATATGGGCAACATGTTGATAAAAGTGTCTAGCAACATTTCCAAAACACTAGTCAACCAAAACTAGTGTACAGAAGTAGTCATAAGCCTTAAAAGGTTCCGAAAAATAATGAACTTTGAAAAAAGGTATCTTAACTATCTACCTTTTCTAAGGAGATAAAAGTAGATATTAAATATTTTTGTACCTAATTTGAAACCAAAGTGTACCTAAATATTCTCATGAATACCAATTATTTTAAGAACACTGGTTGCACAGTGCTCAAGCACATTGCATTTAGATACAGATACAGATAGTGGATATCTCGGACTCGGAAACTTGTTCGGCTCGTTTGCCCATGCACATTCTGAGGCATTCTACCTAGACTGCCTGCTACCTGACCCACCGAGCATTCAGCACATGTACGCATGTGCGGCATGTGCGATCCGTTCTCTTGCATAGTTCCATCCCGACCCGAGATCTCTCCGTTCTCAGTTTTTCGTTTTTAGTTCTCAGTTGTGGGTTCTTGGGGTTTTTATGTTTTTATCGGCCTGTACTCGAGACTGTTCTTTACCTCTCTCGCCGTCCGTATCTTATCTCCGTCTCGGCCTTTCGGTCACACATTTGTGGATCTCCGCTTTGCTGCTTTCTTCACGGTTCCGCTCGACAGTAGCTCTTCGAACGTCAACGTGCGATAACTGGAGTACATAGTTCTGTGCGATCAATCCCTCCGCCGTCTGCCTGTCCCAGTGTCTCTGTGTTCTGATTGTTCGGTCTGGCAAAAAAGAAATTAAAACGTCGGCGGCGTTCTCATTACGCTTTCGATACTCATAATTAGCTGGAAGAGAAGAGCCTCCATGGAGGGCGGTATCTGAACTGGCCACTGCGATTTAGATAGCATAAACCCAGGGTCAGAGACACAGAAACTGAAATTTCCCAGCCCAGTACAGCCATGAGTTTCCGCTACTCAACTCGACTGATTCAAGTGAGTTCAAATGGGAACAAAGTCGAGATCTGAAATCTGGAAAAACAGATGCTATTAAACTGCAGATGTTACTTTCGAATCAGAGAAAACATATATCATTTATATCTTACATTTTAATGGTGATTAACTAAAAGTTAATTTTTAATTTATTTATTTAATAGGACACCCGTTTGGATCTTGACCTCAAGGAGGAGAAACTCGCCTCGCTGCAGCGCGAACTGGAGGAGATGACCTTTGGTGGCGGCACCGAGGAGGAGTTCGCCCAATTGCGGCGCTCCAAGAACGAAACGGAGCGTCGGGCCAAAGAGCAGGAGGAGGAACTGGACGAGATGGCCGGCCAGATACAGCTGCTCGAACAGGCCAAGCTACGCCTGGAGATGACCCTGGAGACGATGCGCAAGGAGGCGCGACGTGAGTCTCAGCAGCGCGACGAGGAGCTGGAGGAAGTTCGCGGCAACGGCTACAAGAAGATCAAAGCCCTTGAGTGCCAGCTGGAGACGGAGCACGAGGAGCGAACCCTGCTGCTGCGTGAGAAGCACGAACTGGAGCGACGCCTCTCCTCCATGGAGGATCGCGATCGCGTTGACCGCGATGCCGAGGAAGCGCTCAACCAGAAACTGCGACGTGATCTTCGCAAGTACAAGGCTCTGCTCAAGGATGCGCAGACGCAGTTGGAGCGGCTTAAGGCTGACACGCCTGGCAAGACGCTCATTAGGCAGCTGCGTAACCAACTGGAGGATGCCGAATCCGCTCGATCACTGGCCATGAAGGCTCGGCAAACAGCGGAAGCCGAACTGACCGAAGTACAGGCCATGTTCGAGGAGTCACATCGAGCCAGGAACGATGCTGAGGAGCGAGCCAACGCGGCGCATAGGGATCGCGCTGAGCTGCAGGCCCAAATCGAGGAGAACGAGGAGGAGCTGGGCGAGCTGATGAAGAAGTACAGCGCAACGGTGAAGCAGCTGAATACCGAGCAGATCAACGTATCCGAGGCTGAGTTTAAGCTGAACGAGATGGAAGCCGAGCGCAACAATCTCAAGGAGCAGGTGGCCGAGCTGCAACATCGCCTGGACAATGTGGAGAATCTGGGAGATCCCTCAATGGCCATGATGTCGAAGAGGTAAGTTACAATACAATCACTGAGTATAGATAATTCAATGTGTTTTTTGAACAGATTGGAGCTACGCACCAAGGAACTGGAATCCCGTCTCGAGCTGGAGCAGGCCACTAGGGCTCGCCTTGAGGTACAGGTCAACCGTCACAAGGAGGCCTTGGAGAAGCTGCAGAATGAGGTGACGCAGTCAAAGATGCGTGAGATGCAGGCCCAGGACGTGATTAAGAAGTCGCAAAAGAGCCTGCGCGACATGCGCGAGGAGTTCCACACGGTCTCCAGTCGCGAACAGGAGTCACTCACGCGGCGCAAGGACCTCGAGAAGAAGATGGAGCAAATGGAGTCGGAGGGAGCGGCGCTGAAGAATGATCTGCGACTGGCCCTGCAGCGGATAGCGGATCTGCAGCAGGCCATGGAGGAGGAGGGCGAGGAAGAGCTGAGCGAGAGGTGATTAAAGGAATATTGAACCAGAGGATAGAAGCTAACTAATGATTAATTTTAAACCATTGCAGTGATGAGAGCCTCAGCTCTGTGGGCTCAATCAGCGATCTGGAGGATCGACTGCGGCCAGTGCATGTGAAGCGCAGCTCACAGCAATCTTTAAACGGCAGCATCGGCGGAAGCGGCTCCGTTGTCAGCTCCACCCGCACCGTGGTCTTTGAAAAGGACGACAACAGCCCGAGGTACGCTGATAACGAAGTCAACTCGAACAGCAGAAAGCAGCACAAGCATTAAGGCCCAAGCACACAGCGTAGACTACTCTACTACTCTCTCACCCTCTATTGTCTGACTCTTAATATATGCCTATCGCTAGTTAGCTAGTCTGTAAGGTCTGTTGCTATTTGCCGGCTTATCTAATTTAAATAATTAAACCATACATGCAAACCATCCGCCACAATCCACATCCACAAATGTCCCCAAAAACCGAAACTCGACAACAACAACCGCCGCCGACACTTTAACGCTGCAATTCTCCGACGTCTCCTGCCAAATCAAACAAAATCATAAAAACCAAACGCCCCCTAAAATCAACGATGCGTGTAAATATGTTAATGCATATGTGACAAACCTAAATACACAACAAATCCTAACTCCGCTCCGCTCTGATCCGCAACCGCTCCGCAACAACAACCCGCCCCTCCCAATCCGCGTGTGTGCGCGTGTAAACCATTAGCTTTTTCTTATTGTAGAATAACAGTGACGTCGCCATCGTCGCCACACATTCATAAGCTGGCACTGGCGGCCAAAGCCATACCGGCCAACAAACCGGACACAAAACCCGCAGCATCATCGACCAGGAATGGATTAGCAGTGCCAGTTGTGGCCCACCATTAATGGCCAGGATCCGTAGCTGGCCAATCCGTAGTAAATTCATCTTTGCTCGCGGCTAGTTGTTGACCACCTGGTCCGGCAGCTTGTAATTTGTAATTTTTATTTTTTGGATATTTATTAGTTGTTTATGATTATTATTTGATTACTGTTTAGTTCAATATGTTTAACTATTTATTATCGAAATATAGCTACATGATAATATATGATACACAAACCCAAAAGGCATTTGAAAGCAATGCTGAATCGTAGTTAATTTAATTTGCGCGACAGTCCCTAAATGAAAAGTGATTAACATGTTTTATCTCTCTCGAAACAAACAAAAGAAAAAAACGGAACTAACACCTATAGCCTATATAGAATATAGTCCATTATCCTATAGCCAACTTAAATAAAATTAGTTAAACGCGTTTCAAAATCATAGGCAAGTGTATGCAAATGCAGTAAATTGAATCTTTAATCAAATTAAATCCCAAAAAAAGCCGAGTATTTTACAAATAACTCTTATTCTTATACGAATCATCAAGCCCTTCATAACATCAGTAATTAAACATCATTAGCTTCATTCATCACATATGGAAAGGAACAACTTAAATTTAAACGTAATAACTAATATTGGAATACGAAATTTTACAGAAATCGTCATGTAACGGGAAACGATCCATGAAAATCCTTATAAAAACTAACAAAACAAACATAAACAAATAAATATATTGTTATAAAACTTAAGTAGTGTGTTTTCCTGGGTTATTGTGTTATATTAAGAGGCGTTAAAATAGGAATGGGTTATGTTAGGATCTTTATAGAGAATATAGAAGTCATACAAAAGCTATTGCATACTTTTGGGCAACTTTATTTTAGGTCAAATGTAAAAACTTTTTACATGCCTTTAGATTTTGGCTGAAAAACTAATTAATCCGAGAATCAATGGGATCTTTATTACCCAATGTCCTCACTTGATCTAACTTTTTGCCAGCAAACAAAGCTATTTAAGTTTCAATTGATAATCCTAAGAAACCTTCCCTCGTTTTAATGGCCCAAGTTTCGAATCAAGGAACCGCCATCGAAAGTCATCAGCTAAAAATGGCGCACAAGTAGTACTTGGCCCAAAACTGAACTTCCGGATAAGAAGTAAGCCAACTCTTCAGCTCCACCGCCGCTTTGATTTATTTGGGTAAACACGCACGCTGCTAGGTCGAGGTCAAAAGTGTAAGACATACCCATGCTAGACCCAGACCAAGGGCTAGAAATCTGGCACCCACTTACCCCCGACCTGGAGCCCAAAACCCATTAAGTGGCACCATTCGGCAGTCGCCATCCCAGGTGACTTTGAAACTGGCAGCAATCGCAATCGCAGCAATCCCACGCCCACGCCTGGAATCCCGGATCGGTCACGAATGAAAGCCAGGCACGCAAGTTCACCCCTTATGGGGGAAGGGCCCGAGCACTTGAAAACACTTGTTGTATGTCAAAGCCGGAGGCCCAGACATCAATCAGCCGTCTGGCTGACATCCACAAAGCCCGGCGATGGCTTTCCAATCTAGGCGGCAGCAACAGGTGTTGCCCGGGGAAACTCCGACTCCTCGTAGTGCTAGTCCTCCCTTTTACGGGGGAAACCACCGCGTGTCCGTCAGTCGAGCTGAACTCAAAAACAACCGTCAACTAGGCGACTGTCAAATGCGCCACGTATCCGGATTATCGATCAAACAGCAGCGACTTTACGCCAATTTCTGGGTCTCCGTTTTTGGCGCAGACACATATTGGAATTCAAAGGCTGCGGAACGGTAATCGCAGAGCTGCACTTGCGGCATTTTCTTGGAGTAGCTAAGTCAGGATAATACCAATATGGATGACCGCACCATAGACTCCATATTCTTGGGCTCTCTGGAGTCCCTGCCGCCGGTTAGCTCGAAAATCGTGCGCATCTTCAACCAGCTCCACGTTCACGGGTGGGTCAGCAAACCAACACATTTGGCCATGTGTGGCCGGGTTGGCAGTGTGTGTGAAAGTGTGAACTTGTTATGTAATCCGGATTTTCGCAGACACCACCATGGAGCGGAACACACTGATGGCCAAGTGCTATCCGCGGATCAAGGACTACTGTCGCGAGAAGCACGGCCTGGAGTTTCAGGTGGTGGACATGCGTTGGGGCGTTCGAGATGAGGCCACCGACGATCACATGACCACGGAGCTCTGCATGCGAGAGATCAAGAACTGTCAGCGACTCTCGATGGGACCTAACTTCATCGTCTTTCTGGGCCAGAAGTACGGCTACCGGCCCATTCCCACGTACATTGTGTCCTCCGAGCTGGCCCTAATCTGCGAGGAGCTGACCTCGATGGGCGTGGATCGGGCATTCTCGATTTGTGGTACAAAAAGGACAGCAATGCGGTGCCACCCATCTCGGTACTGCAGCCCATCTCCTCGATTTTAATTAATTTCAACAACAAGGTAAGTTCTCTGGTGAAAGTGTTCAGTGAAGTGGATAATTTGTATCTCATGAAATACCTAGTGAAGTAGCTTTAAAAAGTAACTTGTTTTAAAAACTGGGTGAAAACCAAATCATTTCGATGTGTGTGTGCCAACCGGTGTTCTATACTGTGTGTGTTTCGGGCGGAGTGCCGAATGTTTGATCCCATGGGTACCTGCTGATGACCACTGGTATAAAAGCATTATATCTAGCTCAAATATCTTTTTCTTTGAATAAATTAGAAAAGTGTATTGATCAATTATACCTCAATCCTTAGCGAGTACCCAAACTGCAGGCGGAGGATCAGGCAGTGTGGTGGGATACTCTCAACAAAATGCAGAAGCTGCTCCGCAAGGCGGCTGCCTCCTTGGGAGCCAGCAACAAAATGTCTAAGGAGGACGTCCACAACTATTTCATGTCGGGTGAGTGCGTAGCCTTTAGCGAGTAGCATTCGTAGTGGTAGCTCAACAAACCCATTGGTACGCGTTTAGTGACGGAGCGTGAGGTGATCAACGGCATATTGAACGTGAAAAACACAAAAAACCATTGGCCTGTCCTATGTGAGGTACATCAACAACATAAACCTGCAGAATCTGAAGAAGGCCTCGCTCTTCGTGGACATCATTAATCGCAGCCTGGATACGGAGTCGGCCAAGTTGCTAAGTGACCTGAGGGACACAAGGTTGCCGGCCAAGATCGAGGGCCGTCAACGCCCAGAAGTAAGGGATATGGAAGATGAGAGAAAAAGGAGCCGGAAACGGAATGATGCTAATCCTATCTGATGTGGGGGTTGGGGGCACTTTGCAGATACACGGTGGAGTGGATCGGACGGGAGGGTCTGGACATTGAGACGCACGAGGAGTACCTGAAATCATTTCATCTCTCACTTCTATAAGAACGTGGTGAAGCTGGTCGATAGGGCGATGCGCAAAGAAGACTCCAGTGCACAGGGGCAGATAGTAACTGAGATCCTTCAGCATCTGCACGCTTGCAACAATTCGGTCAAGATATTCTACGGTCGCGAGGAAAGTTGCGAACGCATCAAGCGCTACATGCTGGGGGATTCAGATAAGCCACTTGTCCTTTTCGGCGACGGAGGCTGCGGCAAGACTCACTGCTCTCCAAGAGCGTTGCCCTCGTGGCCACCGAATGGTTCGCCCACGCGAGGCCGATCAACGTCATCCGCTTCCTGGGCACCACGCCGGATTCCAGTGCCTTGACGGCCACCCTGATTTCCATCTGTCAGCAGGTGAAGTCCATCAAAAAACCAGCCCCATCTAGACCCCCAAAAACTAACCCGCTAACCGCTTCTAACCTCTTACCCCAAAAACACATCACCCCACCCCTGATTTTACTCAATCAGATCTCTTACAACTACATGCTACCCTTCGAGAACATACCCGATGATCTTGTCCCCTTAACAGCACACTTTAAGCAATTACTAACTTACGCCAGCCCCGCCCAGCCGCTCACCATCTACCTCGATTCGGTCGACCAGCTAACGGGCACCCAAGACTCGAACAAGGTATCCTGGATACCCACGCGTCTGCCTCCGCACTGTAAGGTGAGCCCTCTGTTCCGATGAGGCTGTGGACTACAGTATCCACTTCCTTTTATCCTTCCTTACTTCCTTGTGCATGATACTCCAAATACCTTTGTGAATACCAATACATATTCCTTGATAACCCTAAGTGCATGATTTTTGAAATTATTAAGATCTTTTTACCTTATTTCCCTGACACTGTACAAATTTATGCATGATATTTTCTTTCTACTTCTAAGTAAGCACCTGAATTTATCCAAGATTGAAATATTTTGGTCTGAGGAATTCGGCACATAACAAAATAATCTATGTAAGAAACAAAATATGTTCGGTACATAGGTAATACCTGTTAGGTATTTATGTATAAAGTTCTGTTTTCAAAAGAATCGTTTAAGATTTCTCCGCATGTTACTAGGATCTAGTTTTCGGGAAAACCGGATCTTCAAACACGACAATTATTTTTTAAAACCGTTTCATCCAGAAGAAAATAAATTTGTTTGTGCAATTTACTGGTCCTTCTCTAAATAGTAAACCTCTTAGGGTTAATATGCAATCCTTGTAAACCCTGATAGATCCCTTGTTGCAACCTACTTTCATCATTATAACTCATACGCCCGTATATATGTAAATACACTGCATGAATCCGCATGTGCCCACTCTAAGGGAAACTGAGTAAGTTTTTTCCAATTGCTTGACCTGTGCGTGCTAAGCAAAATCACTCGACACCACCGCCACCAGAGCAACTGATGGCACCACCTCACCCAAACACCACCGCAAGGAGGCCGTTCTGCATGAGGCGATCCTCGCTTGGTATCCACCCTAATCCTTAAGTCCTTGTATACAGATCCCATTCCAACTGCTTCCAGATCATAATATCGTGCGCCAACGAACCGGCGAATCCGACGGTTTCGCACGAGTACCATGTCCTGTGCAAGATGATCGACGTGGAGGAGAACTTCATCGAGGTGACAGCCTGGGCGAGGATTTGGCCATGAACGTGATCAAGATGTGGATGAAGACGGCTTGCCGGGACTTGAACAACTATCAGTGGCGCCTGGTGGCCAATGCCATTAGCAAGTGCTCCCTGCCGATCTTTGTAAAGCTCGTCTTCGCCGAGATCTGCCGATGGCGAAGCTACACGCGTCCCAGGAGACGCACCTGGCCAACACGGTGATGGACTCCATTATGCTGCTGTTCGAACGAGTGGAGAAGCAACACGGACGCATTCTCGTCTTTCACGCCCTGGCCTATATAACCGCCTCCAAGTCGGGTATCCGAGAGCGAGCTGGAGGATCTCATCTCGCTGGACGACAAGGTGCTGGACGATGTCTACCAATACCATTTGCCACCCACGCGGCGTATTCCGCCACTTCTGTGGACCCGTATCCGGAACGATTGCCCAATATCTGAGCGAACGCGAGGCGGACGGGGTTAATGTGATGAACTGGTATCACCGGCAGTTCCGGGACACCGCCAAGGAGCGCTACTTCAAGAACATGAACATGGCCATTTACTTTCACTCCATGATTGCAGATTACTATCTGGGCATTTGGGGCGGCGGAGTGCCGAAACCATTTAAGTTCACTGAGATCCAGCGACACAGGTTTGGATTGGCGGACAAGGAGGGATCGGCAGATCGTAAGGTGCCCATCAGCCGTTGGTCTTCAGCAGCAAGGACGGTCTCTCCAAGCGATACAATCTGCGCAAGGTAGTTGGAAGATGTACTACAATATAAGTATATATTAATCCTCAATCCCAGTTTGGTGAGCTGCCCTTTCACTTTGTTCCGCTCCGCCGCTTCAAGGATCTCTTTGAGCATGTGCTCTTCAACTACGACTGGCTGCATGCAAAGCTTTCCAGCTGTCCACTCCAGGCGGTATTGGCGGATTTCGAGGATGCCTCCAGCAACACGGATGACAAGGAGGCCAAGCGAGAACTGATGCTGGTGTCGGATGCCCTGCGTCTGGGTGGCGCCATCCTGGCCATCTACCCCAATATGCTGGCACCGCAGCTGGTCGGTCGACTTCTGCCCGAGATTGGTGGAAACCGAACATCAAAATGCTGTTGAGGGCTTGCGACGCAGTGGCCCCAAGGACTGCGCCCTCATTCCGGTAATCATTGTGCACACCCAGGAGGACCTCTCAAGGTAGGTGTTCCATTCTTATAAAAGACTTGAATAAGACCATCGCATTTGTTCCCTAGTATTCTCTGGAGGGTCACCAGTTTGCAGTCTTCGCCTTCTGCCTGACCAGCGATATGCGACATGGTCTCCATATCCACCACTTTATCACCTTTGATTTGTCCACTTCGGATTGACTCGGGACGTGAATCCCGGCATCGAGGGCATTATGCAGCAATTGGTGCTGTCCGGACAACAAGTGGGCCGCCGCCTACTCCAACAACAACCAGACAGTTCTACTCAACATGCTCTCCAGCGAGTTTGTGGTGATCAACAGTCCCTTCGAGGAGTCTCACGGTCCAGTCAGCGGTCTATATCTGCTCAATCAAAAGTAAGTTCGTGGGGGTCCTTACTCGTTGCTTATCCTTTTCCGTTTTAGTTTGTTCATCACCTGCAAGCTCCGATGGGCTCAGTTGATATGCGCGGTAATCTGGTTGATACCTTTGATGTACCTGGTGAAAATGATAGTTGGGAGATACTGAGTGAGTATGATTTGTACAGATGTAATCATGTAATTAGTATTTGCCAATATAAAATCAAATATATGCTTAACATCCATTTCTCTATATTTAGCCATGGAGTTTTCACATCTGCGGATTACAATGTGGTTTTCTGGTCGGGCTCCATCAACGACATGCGCCTGCGACTGGACTCGTGCCGGGGTGGCCACTACTCCAACTCCCAGCGGCTCTATAGCGCCATGGTCCATGAACAAGGATCGAACCCGGCCTATGGCTGTGCCAACGGAAAACTTTGAGGTCTCCGTTTTCGACTTCGTTGAGGATGAGGCTACCGGAGAGATCTGCTGGACTTTGGTGGAGAGCCTGCCGCGCTTTGAAAACGACGACAAGGAGATGCTGCTGCAGTTGCGCATTGATCAACACGATCGTATGCTTTTGGGTACAGCGGGCAAGGATTTGTGATCTGGGATTTTGGCAGCAAGGAAAGGATGAAACTGAAGGGTCCCGTTTAAGGGAGGGTGCACTGTACCTGGCACTACCTCACGGGGTGCGAAACATTACCACTCGCCATCATGCAGTCCAACTCGATCATGGTTAGCTCCAGTTAGATTATGCCGTGGCCGGAGTACGCAAGAACTGTACGTGTGGTGCCTCCAGTCCGGTCAGCTGGCCAAGGTCCTGGACGCCCACTTTGGGCGCATTATCCAGCTGGAACCGTTGACCATTGGCAACTGGAACAACCTGGTCACCTCTTCCATCGATCGGTTCCGTAAAGGTGTGGAACATCAACACATCTTTGAGAAAGTCCACGTCTCGACCGCCACGAATTGCAAATCGACGATATCAGTTTGTCTGAGGTGGACATGGCGGTGACCGTCACCCGCAGTTGCGTGGGTGTCTGGGAGACACCGATCCGGTCGCCTACTGGCCAAACTTGCTGACAGTCCTTTGGGCGCCATTGTAACTCATGCCGAGATCACCCCGGATGGCCGTTACATCATCTCCTCGGAGACGGGCAAGTTTCTAGTCTGGAACCGAGTGTCCGAACAGGTTGTTTTCAGGGATGACCAACCTGGCATACAGCAGATCACTCTCATGGACTACGGCTACAAAGTGCTCACCGTTCCGTGCCTAACATCAATCAGCGGGACATCCTGGCAGCAGCTGCTGGCGGTCAGCAGATGAAGCCAACCGGCTAACGGCCATAACAACTATGCGTTCCGTACCAGGTGAGTTACCCTATGAAATATATTATATTAATGATAAATATATATAAAATAAAATCAAAACAAACTTACTAAATCATTTAATGCAGAGGGAGCCATCCTGTTCCGTTTCGACTTCCCCATACGGATGATCACGGGCATGCCCTTCCGGCAGTCGGTTATTACGGCCGACAACGCCTACATCGTGGTGGTCACCGTGGACAAGTCCAACAAGGATTGCCTGGGAGTCTACAGCGCCACGAATGGGGCTTTCGTCTCTAAGATCCTGCTGAAGGGCTGCTCCATCAAGGAGGTAATCTCGCTGGTGCCGATGCCGCACAAGGCCAACCAAGTGGCAGTGATCAGCAGCGAGAAGGGCAGCGTCATGGACATCAAGACGAAGAAGCATGTTCGCTCTATCGCCAAGTGGGGAGGAAGCATCACTCGGGACGGCAAATGCGGTTTGTATGCTCCTACCCGGGGAGGACTGGAAATGTTGGAGCTGCGCAAGGGCACCACGGTGAAGACCTTCATACCTAAGGTGGCCGAGGGCGTCTTCTCGGTGATCTGCATCTTCACGGAGAACGACGAGTATGTGGCCTACTATCACAGCGGCCGAAAAACCATTCGAGTATTCCGCACGGCGGACACCGAAATGATAGCCAACTACCGCTTGCAGGCGGAACTCACGGCTATCAAGAGCAGCAAAGATGGACGCGCCATTGTTTTGGGAACTGTAGACGGCTGTATGTCCGTGCTGGCCATCGTGGATCCCAAAAAGGAGGAGATGAACGAGTACCTCAACGACTTGCCCTCCCGCGACGAGAACTGGAAGGCTAAGCTGGCCAAGATGAAGGCCCGGGTGGGCTTCAAGGCTGCCATTCGGGTTGCCACCATCTCCTCGCGCTACGCCAAGACCAGCAAGGGCGGTGAGGATGGCGAGGAGGAGCTGCTCACGGAGATCACCGAGGACGTGGTGGTGCCAGTGGCCGACTAGCTTCTGGGTTAGTTGATTTATAAATATAACATTTATTTTCGCATATAGTTCATGAGGATGTTACAAAAATACGCGGCGTGTCTACTGTGTGTGTTATCCTGCGTGTACTGCGTGCTTGCGGCATAGAAATCAGTGTGTGAATGTGTGTGCGGATAAAACTGAATGGGTCTTAAACTAAACAATGGTTAGGGGGTAACTGCTAGTTGGTAAAAACTACGGTTAGCTAATACGAGTATAAATTAGAGTTTTTAGCGCGCACTGAGCCCAACGCTTGGCTTGAAACAATTTGAGGCGTGTTGAGTGTTGATAGTTGAAAACATAACCAGACATAATATAATAATAACAAGAATCGATCCTAGTGGGCGCGTGTTTGCAAAACAATGACCTTTCAAGTGTACACAAACCTTTAACATGCTACTGCTTTCACTGATAATTTAAACAAAATAGCGTAGGCATAAACTAACAAGCTGTCGTCTAATTATTGGAACCCGGTCTCAGTCACAGTCGCCACTTCATTCTCAATCTCAACTCAGCCAATCGAATCTAATTGAATCGTATACGGAACACAACTCAGTGCTAATACATAGACCGATCAATTGTTATTAGTAAAAGTACAATACATAGTTCTGGAGGAGACATAGTAATAGTGTGATCTGTTAATTATTGTTACTGTTGTTAACCTGCTTTCGACACTCACTGCTGCTCCTGTTACTACACATTATTACCGTGAATATATATATGTGCCGATTTGTAAGCATAAAACTATGTTAAATAATAAATGATTCCATGTAGTTTACGAGGACTGGCTCGTTCAGTGTGTTTTTGAGTGTTTCTCTTTGCTGTATAATGTTTAGCTGCCGCTGATTATAGCTAAGGGTTTTCAGCTACAGGAAGCGCACAACTTATTGGGCATGATTCTCCTTCTTGATCTGCGCCAGCTTTGCCTGAAGAGCCTGCAAGCGATTGGGCGACATGTCGCGCTTCTGAAACGAATAAATTTGTAAGTTCCTGTTCACTTCTTCACAACATCCACTTACATCTCGCTTGATGAGCGACGCCTTCTGTGAGTTCATCCCGTTCAGGCAGAGATTCTCGTCGACCACCTTGTTGTCCAGCATGTGGGATCCATCGTCTGCTGAACGGGCAGAAGCCAATTTACCGGCCACACCTCCGCCGGAGAGGTGATACTGAAGGCGGTCCATCCAAAAATCGGCATCGTGACCGGTGTTCTGGTAGTTGACATCTGTGAGATAAGAACGAATAGCTGCTGCAGTTCATCGTATTCAAACACGAATATAAATGCATGTGCATGAGGTTAGTAGATGAAATAGGGTGTTAGGTGCTTCCTTACCCGTGCGATTATCCGGCGCCTGTGCAGATCCGGCGTTCTGGTTGCGTTCGATTTCGGCCAGACCCTCCTCGATGTACTTGTGGAAAGTGGCACTGGAACCTTGCAGGAAGGTACTTAAATCGATTTCTGGATTTTGTTGCTGAAATATTATAATAAGGATTGGGCCTTAGATAAACAAACAAACAAAATATCATTCAGAACCAACCTTAAAGTCGTAAAGCTTCTGGAGACCTTGCTGTTTGGTATCTCTATCCGAGATCAGCTTAAAGATCTGAGATACTGTATCATGAGTTTGGTGCGAGATACGCTTGGAGGCAATCTCCTTGGCTCTCTGGGGGGAGGCGCCAATTCCTGCCGCAGAGCCATCCTTTTGGAAATTCTACAAGGGAATAAGGTATATTATTATTAATTCCAATTAATTGATATAATCAATAGAGCCCACCTTGAGGATGCGTATCAAGTACGTGTGCAGCTCCGAGTGTGTGGGAATCTGGTTGAGGTGCTGCAGAATGGCATTACCCTTAACCTTTGCCATGTTGTGCAGAATGGTCTTAATCGTGCGCATCGGAGTATCCGACGGTCGGTTCTGCCACCAGGTGCTGGGCAGGGCCAGCATAAACTCGTGCACCTCCAGGATCACGGCGTCGTAGTTCAGCTCATTGCTGCGCTCTGGCAGCATCTTTACATTGCGCCAAATGCACTTCATCAGCAGGTCCGTGAACTTTGGGAGCTTAGCCTCCGGACAAGTCTCGCGCAATAGACGTATCAATGCACTGTGAGGGATTCGAGAATCAATTACATAATGCAACTAAATAGCATGTTTAATAATCTTACCAGTTTAAATTCGTAAAGTCCACCTTGTCCAACACTTTAAGACAGATGCCATTGATAACCTTGTTATACTGACTGTCATCGCCCACGGCCAACTTGGGATCGGCCATCAGGTTTAGCAGCGCCGACATGAGATTTTTGATGCAGGCCACGCTCAGCGTTTTGCCCAGAATGTTGGCATGGAAAAATGTATACAGAATGGAGAGCAGCGGCTGGTATACGACCACAGACTGAGCCGATGGTATCTGTGAGAGATTCTTGAATTGTGCCAGCACATTCTGAATAAATATTTCCTCGTAGTCACGCAGCACGGCCTGCTTCTCCGGAGCCTCGATGATGGCGGCCAGCTCGTTGATGGCCGCTCGAGCCTTGAGGGTGTCCGTGCTGCTCACACCCCTTATAACCTTGACCAGCTGCGGATCGTGCTTGGGCAGAACATCAGCCAAGCTGTAGGTTGAAAAAATAAGAGTAAAGTAATCGATTTACGCGACAGCGGCATGGATAACCTACTTCGGTACATTGTTCTCCAGTTGCTGGGGCGGCTGCTGGTTCTGCATGCGCATGGGGCTGCGATACGGCGAGATTCCACTGGTCATTCCGCCGGTGGACGACGGGGAAGTTGTCAAAGTCTGCTGCATGTAGTGCTGCCGCGAAATTAGGCGATCAAACTTCTCCTGCGGATAGTGAATGCCGGCTCGAGTGGGTCGCACCTTAATGGGCTCGTCAAGTGATGAGATGTCCACGTTCAGTAGCGGCTTTGATTCCATTTGGTCCACGCGGACCCAGTCTTTTTCAATATCGCTGATCACCTGAGAGTCCAAACCAAATGGTCCGCTGGACTTCTGTTGCTGGGTCTGCTGCTGCAGCTGGTGAAGATGCTGCTGGAGAAGAAGCAGCTGTGACGAAGGCGCCTGATCAAATGTTCTACAGTGTCGAAAAAAACGAAGGTGTTAGTCCAACTCTTGAAAACTCTAAAATCAAACTGAACACACACGGAAAGCAATGACAAGTGACAATTACAAACACGATGACAGAAAAGGCAAAGGGACTTTACAAACAATCAGAGCAGCAAGCAACAACAAAATGAACAAAACAACATAAAGTATAAAGAAAGCCACTTTACGCCTGTCGAGTCAGGGAGTTTAAGTAGGCAACCACATTGGTGGCACTCCGCTCCGTCAGGTTGTTCTGCCCACGCGCATTTAAATCTCGCTGCAAACTGAGTCAATAAAATAAAAATATAAACGAAAACCAACCGAAATCAACAAAGATATAAATAACATCTACTGGGATACCCGAGGGTGGAAACCACTATCATCTTTGGGAGTTACATAAAATGCTCACAGTCGGATTAAGACATTCAACCATTTAATTATTATCGCCAAAACTGAACTAGAAGTATTACTGAAACTGATATAATCAGTTTTAGTATCCGTCTCAATCCCTTACGCCATAAGATTTATTATCAAAAAAAGATTTTATTAAAAGTGGTCATATAAAACAATAAATTCCCCACCAAACTGTGAAATTTTGATTCATTGTCTTGACATGAACACACAGGTAGACGACCCAATTTATTTATAAGACGGCTTTCCTAAAGGCATCTCGTTCAGTGTCTTGCGGACATGAATGGGTATTGGTATCCGAGAATGCTTAACGCCTTGCTTACAATGCCCACAGCAGTTTCCAACCCTCGGCTGCACAGGGCACTCATCAAACTGAGTACTAGGTAGATAGGACTGGGGTATTGGTTTTAGAAACAACTCCGGCACGTCCCCGCACACTTACCCCTCATCGTCCGGTGGCGGCAGCTCGTCGCACCCGTTGCCCACCTCTGCATCTTCGATCTCGATGCTGTCATGTCGCTGAGCCGCTTGCCTGCCTGTGGGCATATCGACAGATGCTGGAGGCGTCGGCTTCTTTGTCTTCTTGGCCCGCTTGATGCGCTCATCGAGCATAGAGAGATCCTTCTCGTTGAGATGGCCAATCATCTTGTACGTCTTTTCGCCGGACAAGAAGAACACCTGGACAATGCAGTTGAGTGCTGCATTGCGCACAGAGTTATCCCGGTCAGAGATCTGACGAGCAATCTCACGCACCGCCGCCTGGGGTGCAATGTTCATGCCGTAGGTCTCAATGAGGAAGGATAACTCGTCCAGGCACTCGGTACGCTGGCGGGCATTCTTCGATTTAAGACCCTCCATCACATAGGCAAAGACCTTTACGAAGGGGAAGACCAATATAACTTGACGGAGCACACGACGCACTCCATTTCGGACAGCATCCTTGGGATCTCCAATCTGCATTTAAACAAACAATTTTATCAACTTCTTATAACTTTCCTGACCCCAGACTTACTTTCAAAAGCAGGTGGGGCACAAAGCAGCTGCCCTCGTTCTCGGCCAGAATGTACTCCTGGTCAATGAGCATCTGGAAGACCTGTACCAGATATTCGAGACCCTTAATCAACACAGAAGGGTTCGTATCGTAGAAACGCAGAGTCAACCATTTAAGTATTAGGTCCAGATTGCACACCAGCGCCTTACTGTTGCCAGGCAGATCTTCGCTCAACTGCTCGATAACTTTCAAGTGATAGCTGGAGGATAATTGAAAGGGTTACAGCTGGAACGCAGCAGTGAAGATGGATGGACTCACCGAAAATCGTCATGGAACATGTTGGCTATCAGCGCTTTGTTGACATTGGCCGCCATCATTTGATCGCGTAATAGGTCGGTGAATTCCTCTCTCGGCGTTACGAATGTCCACTTGAGAACCTTCATTTTTTGCTCGTCCAGCAACCGCTGGTTCTTAGAGTTGTTTGCGGCCAGAAGCGGCGATGTGTCGATATCCTCCTCCTTCTTGCGCGCAGGTGCAGGCAATTTGTCCTGTCCTCCGGCAGCGCGGGCAGAGGCACTCTTCTGGATTCCACTCGCTCCTCCACCGCGCACTGTCTTGGCCTTTGGTTCCTCGGGTATTGGGGCCTGCTGTTTGCCCTTGGGTAGCGGCTTTACTGGGAGATTAGGACGGGCCTTCTCCAGGGCCGCATAGATATCCTTCTTGGAGGCGGGCTTCTGCTTGTCCAGAGCTCGGTTCAAAGCGTCAAATCCAAGGTGAATCATAATACCCAGCACCGCCTCGTTGGCGTTCTTCCGCACATCGGCATTGCGATCGCAGATGTGGGCGTAAAGGTGCGGCACCATTGAATGTAGATCCTCCTTTGACACCGACTTGGGGGGAAGGCCTGGCAGTTTGTCCGCCAGCCAAGCCCACAACTCGGTCTTCAGAGCGGGGGATCCTCCCTTAAGAGCATCGGCTATCATTTCGCTTTCGAAGAACTCCTTGTAGCCGCCCTTCTCGCCAAAACTGTTGATGCAGTTGAGCGCTGCGGCCCTTACAAAACTCTTGTTATCCCCGAGTGCGTGCAGAAATCCAGGGAACAGGGTGCGCACATGGTTGCGACATCCAGCGCCCATGGCCGTGGCAAGCTGCTCGCAAATGGCAAGCGTCGTCTGGGCAATCTTTGCATTGGAATCCACCAGGCGGTGCGCCAGAGCAGGAGCTAAGTCCCCGATGCTGGGTTTGATCAGCCTTGCCTCCGAAATAATGGCCTGCAGCTTAGTCAATCCCTCGTTGCGAGTCTTCCAGTCCTTGTCGGACATCTCTTTTAGCAGTGCCTCTGTAATCTGTGGGGCAATGTCAACGCGGGGTAGAAGATCAGCCATGTTAACAGGTTCCTCTTCTCCAGCTGCACCACCATCGTCGTCCTCATTGTCTGGTGAATTTCCAGCTGCTCCGCCACTACTGCGCTGAACTCCCCTCACCGGCTTGGGCGGTTTTTCGCCTACATTTTTGTCGAACTCCACTTGGATCTGGGACTTTAGAGCCGGCTTCTCACTGTCGAAGAACATCATAAGGGCATTGCCCATATACATAGACATGATGCCCACGAGCTGGATGGCAGCGGCACGAACCGTTGGATTGGTGCTCTGCACACCCTTTCGCACATCCTCGATGAGTGTCTTTGGCTGCAGTTGGAAGCCAAACTCTGTGATGGATTTGCCCACCCAGTTAAAGGCCTCCGACTGCACCTTTGGAGATTTCTGCTCGAAGGCGAAGCTCAGCACTTTGCCTACGATGTACTCCAATTTGGTGGCTTCAGCAAAGGCGGTCAGTACATCGGCAGCTGCTGCTCCGTTCTTGGCATCAGCAAGCTTCTCGGTTATTTCGTTAACCACCAGGTCTACGGTTGTCGTAGTCAGCGGATAGTTCTCGGCCACACTGCGGATTATGTCCAGCTTGAACTTTAGTACCTGGAAATTCATTTCTTTTAGGCCAGGTTTGCGCCCGCTTATTGTTCGGATGAGGATCTGTGATATTCCCGCCTGTTTGGCATCGAAGCCGGTGATTTCGCCCAGAAGCTGCTCCACGGCAGCGAGGCGGTTCTTCCAATTGGAGTCCACCAATCCATTAAGTATGTCGGCTGGTAGAATTTCCTCGGACTTTTCCTGCAAATCCTCTGGTGTTAATTCGCGTTCTGTGGCTAGAGCTTTTCCGGTTGCTTTAGAGGCTGCAGATGGGGCAGATGGACCTCCACCCGCAGCACCAGCCGCGGGCTTCTTCAGCACCTTGCGTGCCCCACTGGTGGCCGGTCGGGAAACTGGTTTAGGATCCACACTGCCTCCCGTGGCCTTGGCAGGAGCAGCGGCTTTCGCAGTCGGTGCTGAAGCAGGTCTTGCCTCCTTCTTTGGTCCAGCAACCTTGATTTTTATCTCTGCCTTGTCGTGACACTCCTTGATCTTGACCATCTTGAGGGGATCAACGTCGGCTAGTAGGGGAGTCACCGCCTTTTCGCCCATTAGCTTCATTAAAGTACCCAGAGCTTCGGCGCTGCTGTCGCGGACCGTGGGATCCGGCTCGTTGAGCGTCTTCACAAGACTGGTAGTCAAAAGCTTGAGCAGCTTCTTGTTTAGCGCGGCTGGTTGAGTGCGAGTCAGGGCACGGGCCAAAAACAAAGCCGTTTCGGATTTAACACTTGGATTCTTATTGGCCAGCGACTCCACAATGGACTCTTGCTGGGCCTCCAGCGAGGTGGAGGTGTAGATGGCATCGATGGCCTCGCGCAGGGCGGTCACAACATTGGGTTTCTTCTCCTTGAATTTCTCCAAGAGGGATGGGACACAAGCCTTGAATAGAAAAGTGTATATAATAAAGCTCTACTTGGAAAAGGTAAGAAATTTAAAAACTACTTACCGATGCGTAGTTGGAAAAGCGCTTGGCCAATCCTTTGGCCAGCAGAGCCAGACATTTGCCGGCCATGGCTACCAGGACTACGTTGGAGTCCTTGGTAATAACCTTCTTCAGAGCGCTTACTAGTGCTCCATACTCGCCGTTCTCCAGCTTGGGATTTTCGGTGAGCAGTTTCTCTAGGACCTCCAGCGATTCCTTCCTCAGTGTCCACTTCTTTTCCTCTAGCTTGTCGTAAAAATCCTTGGGCATTTTGGAGAGTATGTCAACGGGATCGAGAAGATCAATGGGATCGATTTCTTCAGGCCCAGCATCGCCATCTTCTTCTGCAGAAAAACATGAATTAAATTAAATAAAACAAAATCATATGAAAGTGTGAAGTCCTTACCATTATAAGCATCCTCGACAGCTGCTGCGTCGGCGATCTTTGCTTGCTTCTCTTGCTGAGATTTCAGATATCTAGAAGGCTCCGCACGTTCACCCTTGAGCTTCTCGAACTCATCCTCCAGCTCCTTAAGCGTTACTTGTGGCAACGTTGATATCTGCGGCTTCATGGCTGCACCGATCCAGCGGTAGATCTCCACGGCCAGCTGCTTGCCCTCATCTCGGACGGCTTTATCTCGATCTGACATTAGAGGGGCTAGCTTCTTAATCAAGGGCTTTACGCCTATTACTTTATGTCCGAATTCACGGAGGGCCAGTGTGGTGGCTGCCACACAGGCGGATACAATCTTGGGGTTCTTGGCCTCCATACCCTTGACCAGCTCTTCGACGACGGCCTCCTGCTTCTCGATCTCCACATACATGAGTGCCACCTGGACGGAGAGCTCCTTGGTCTTTGTCTTTGGTGCCGCTATGCACTTCTGGACGATGCCGGTCATAACATCGCCCACTGTGCGTCCGGCCAGGCCGCTGTTCTCCACAAAGATGAGGGCTGCCTCCAGGCCCTTCTCCTGGGCCATTGCGTTTGAGTCGACCACCATCTTCTTGATGAGGCCAGCGAATTTGGACCACTCCGGTGACTTCTCGTCGTCCAGGTCGCGGAAGATCTTGGCGGCCTCCTCGTAGCCATCTACACGGGCCTTCCATAGTTTATGGACACACCGCTCCTCCACCGGCAACTTCTTGTACTCGGTATCCTCGGCCATGGTGTGTTGGTGCTCCGGGCGCCACTCAATTCGGTCTGAGCAGCGGATTCTCCTCAGTGGTCTCGGGCGCAAGCAGTTGTCTCAACCAACATTCTAGAGAACGAAAGAAAAGGTATTATATAAAATAGCAAATGAACTAGAATTTCTATCTCTAAACATCAACCAAATCCCAATGGAGCGGAACTTTTCGGGTTGTCAGGAGCCATCAAGCTAATGTTTCAAAATTGAGCTTAATCGTCGATGAAATGCAGGGAGACCAAGGAATCGGATTCGGGGAATCGGAATCATCCATCCGTTCCGCTCGAGAGGCGACAAGAAGAGTAAATGGGTCGGCCATATTTAGATTGTCGTCGTCTAAGTGCAGTTATTTGGCAAATAGAAATAGAATTAGGAGCGTGCGATTTTGGTTTTTCGGAAAAGGTTGGTGGGCTTGCCGCCCAGGATGGGGTGATGATGGTGATATCATATAGCCGGAATAGCGCGCTTTATTCAGACAATAATAAATCAGGGGCAGGGCGGAACCCCTCCCCCTTTTCCACTAGCCAGGTGACGCACACGCACTCGAAAGCCCGTGACTGACTCAGGAGTGGATTTTTTTATTTAATTATTCATACAGTTTTCACCCCCTTTACGTTTTTCCATTGATCCGTCCCTGCACCAATTTAACTGTGCTCCAGTTCCAGTAGAGCATTCTCCTAGTCGGATATGCTCAAGCTTTGTCTCCCCCTCTCTCACACTCCTATTCCAAGCTCTCACGCACACCGACGCTCTCCATTTCGAATTAACGGATCGGATCGGAGGCAACAACAAATGTTTCTCCTTGGGGGCTGTGCGTCTGGAAAATGCCGTCGTTTACCGTTCCGACCAACCGCTAATTGTTACTAGGGCTATTAATTTCCAGTGGCTGCAACTTGAGATCCGCAGATGCTCTAGATTTCGCCCACTTCAGCGACAAACAAAAAGCGACGCCCTGAAGCTTGAAAATCCCTATGCAGCCAAGTGCATTCCGGCACACACACTCGCACTCACCATCAGAATTTGGGAATCCAAGTAACGCCGTGCAGCGGGGGGCGTGGCGGGGCCTGTGGGGGTGGACAGCTGGCCAGGGGCAGCGGTTTTAAAGGGCTGCGCAATGCAATAACTTCGATTTTTCGCAGGCGACACACCAACACTCACACACGGCACAACACTCAGGCACGCACACTAATCCGACAAAGACACACCGACGAGCTCTCTTTTTTTCAGCTGCCAGGTACTGCAGCAACAATAAAGCAATAAACAATAACTTAACTATGTTTCACGCGCTTCGGGGCACTTTTGTGCAGCGGAATTCACTTCGGTTTTGCGTGAGGTAAATAAATAATAATTTTTGCGTTCTTCGCAAGCGTCGTTGCGCGCCAGAGCTGGGTAACCACTCGCGATAGTATCGCTATATCGAATATAATGTGGTATCGACTAGGCCTATCGGTAATCGGGTTTCAAAGAACTAGTGTGACCTTTAAAATATAGTTACAAAACTAAAACCAAGTTTTAATTATTTCAAACTCAACTCAACCATCCAAATCCTTCCAAGATGAACAAACTCATGATATGTATAATTGTTATATAGCATTTATTGTACCGCCGCTCTCGACGCGCGTGATCTCCAGCAGATGAATGGTGTGTCCGCCCATGAACTCTAGCAGATCCACGCCCGACTCCTTGCCAATATCGTCCATGCTGATGGGCAGTGCCTGCAGCTTCCACTTCTTGAGCAGCGCCTCGATGGACCAGTCGGCACTCCTCTCCTGGTATGTGAATATGAACTTGGCCCCGGCATTTCGCTCCAGCAGAAAAGCCACAGTGACCACGATGTCCTCGAACACGCTGGGATCGTAGAAGCAATCGGCGGCAATGATGAGGTCCAGCGGAGGAAGCCGGAACACGCTGTTCAGCAACAGTCCCCAGCTGAGGCCCACCACATCGATGTCCACTCCCGGCTGCAGTTGATTGGCCAGACAGGACTTTCGGATGTGGGCCAGAGACTTGGGCAGGATGCAGTTGTCGGTTAGGACTACCTGGGCGCGACACTTGGCGGCAAGAATACCGGGCAGAGCGGTCCCACTGCCTAGCTCCAAGATGCGCTTCCCCGCAAGCGTTTGTCGACGCTCCCACAGGAAGTGGGCCAGTACTGGGGCACAAGGCCACGTGTAGAAGGAGTAAGCTCCCTGGAGTAGCTATTGGGGTATTAATCAAGGATTAGCTTCTGCAGAAACACCTTATTTTCTCAAGCTCACCTCTGGAATCTTAATCTCCAGTCGCTCGGCGGGTGATCCGCTGAAGACAAACTTACGGATGTGCTCGGCGGTGGCTGTGGCTGCCACAATGTCGTTGTCCTCGCTGCCGCTCTTCATGTGGAAACGCATTTTAGCTCGGGCATGCGGGAATGGTTCTTTTTTCACTAAACTGTTGCTGTTTTTCAGAGTTTTGTTTACAACCTGTTTGATTAGCGATGCCAACTCCAAAGCGATAGAAGTATCGATAGCACTAGAGGTGAGCGAAGCAAACTGTGACTGGGTATCGCCAGTGTGACTGCAATGGCAGCTCATTGAAAGTGAACTCATATAATGAAATTTAAAAAAAAATTTGAATAGCTTGATCGAACAATAATGTTTGGCTGTACTTCCAAAACGGCCCGACCTCCGCTCGCGAACATTTTTCTTAGGATCCATGTGTTTTGGGGTCCTGATTACGAATATTTAGGCCAAATACCTGTTCGTTAAATGTAGTTCTGTTAAATATGTTTTTTAAAAATAGTGGTTTATGGGGTGTTCAAATAGTACTTTGCAGATTTAACAACGAATTAGATACCTACATTTTAAAATGTAAAACATCAAGGAATTTTAATAAATTTCCGCAGGTGCTGGTGAACGCTGGGTCAAGTGCATGCGAACTATCGCCCATCCCTAGCGATCATTGTAAAGGTTTGATTTTCCCTGTGCCATGGAGGGATTCTGGTTCTCGGAGGAAAGTGCTGCGTAAATTGAAGAGACCGAAGCGAAACCGAAAAGATGCGCTCCTGGGGGAACTGGGAGTGGTGCGGAAAACTGGGCCAGGGCGGATTCGGCGAGGTGAACCACTGGCGGCACAAGACTACGGGCCGCGAAATCGGTGAGCTATAAACAACTTTTGGGCCCCCACTAGCGTACTTACATATATGGGAATACTTTTCCCCGTGTTTGGGTGTTCGTGTGCGATTCCCGGAAATCGGGCTGATGCAAGCGTCTCCCGGTGCTGCACTGATAAAGAAGGGCCACCCGCGCGTATTCCTATGCGTGTGTGGTCCCCGGATGCGATAGCTTATAGCCCTTGGGCTGAGTCAGCCGAAAGCCGTTCTCTGCGTCGCATATGTATATAAACACTTTTAATAGTTTGCTTATCTTCCATTTTTAGCCACCAAGCACATCTTGGATTTGGAATCCCTAACGGCCGATCAGCAGGTCAAACTCAGCGAGCGCTGGAACAAGGAGTTCAACTGGGCTCGCCAGTTTCAGCATTTCCCCCACATTGTGGCCGGGGTGATCCTGGACGAGGAGGATGCGGCCTACCTCAATGACAGGCACATTGCAAAGCTGCCTGTGATCGTGCTTGAGTACTGCAACAGTGGCGATGTGAGGAAGCGATTGCAGAGTCCGGAGAACGTCAATGGACTGGTGGAGTTCGAGGTGCGCCAGATCCTAGGAGCTCTGCGCAAGGCCCTGCACTTCCTGCACTCCGAGTGCGGGATATGCCATCGCGACTTAAAGCCAGATAATATCGTTATTCAACGCGGAGAAGATGGCACAAAGGTCTATAAGCTTACCGATTTTGGGTTAGCGCGTGGAGCTCCGAATAAGACAATGCTTCAGAGTGTTGTGGGCACACGGCACTACTTCGCCCCCGAGGTGGTGGAGTCGGGCTTTTACAACTCGGCCGTGGACTACTGGTCACTGGGGATCATTGCCTACGAGCTAGCCACTGGCGAGCTTCCCTTCATCCCCCATCAAACACCCAAAAACATATTAATCAGCCTGCTTGGAAAGCCCTACGAATGTATTGCCATAACGGAGGATCCAGACAGTAAGGGTCGTTTTGTGAATCAATTCCAACTGCCCCAGGAGCACCATCTGTCGCGTCCCTGGGCCGAGAAGTTCACCAAATGGCTGCGCCTCCCGTTGAACACAAACTATAAGCAACGAGGCCAACTAGCAACTGATGAAGTACAATCAGTTCCAGTCGTCTTCACTGAGCTAGACGAGCTGCTCAGCACGAAGGTGCTTACAATTTTTGCCGTCAACTGCTGCAAGCAACTTGGCTATGTGGTTACACCTGAGATGACCATGACCGATCTAATTGGCTTGATGGTTCGGGACACCGGAATGAACGGAAATGAATTGTATTGCGTGCTGCCCACTTTCCATCCGCACAAGATGATGAGGACTAACACGAGGCCTTGGGATCTGTATGTTGAGGAGTGGAGTGACACCAGCAAGGACTCGCGCAAGTGGGCCAAGCGCAATATTCCGCCTGTGATGTTGTACGTCTTTCAGGGAAAAAAGGATTGTGACTACAGGGTACCCGAGCCCAATCTGTCGGTATTGGCTCGAAAGTTTATGTCTAAGAAGATTGTGGCGGATGAAAGATGGCTGCTCAAACGTGTGTCTATGGACATGCTCTTTGTGCTAACCAAGGAGCAGGCGATCTGTGAAATGTTTCTGTCCGGCGTTAACGAGCATGCGTTGTCGTTGGAGGATGAAATAGTCGCAAATACGTATATAGACACTTTAAATGCGGAGCTCCTCACAACCTCTTACGCCTACGAACAGTTGAAGAACTTGCGATCGGCAGCACATGTGGTAGATATGCCTCCTCTTTTAGTTGTTCTCTACTAATCCGGTTTCCTTTCAGATTAACGATTGTCCAGAGTGGCAGAAGCTAACGCAAAAACATGACGACATAATAATAAAGACCAAAGAGATTAAGTCTCACTTCGAATCCAACTTGCGCGGAGCCCAGGGCATGGTGAAAAGCGCCAATCAACTCTTAAAAGATCTCGTCGGCAAAGATATTTTCGATGCGTAAGGCCATTCTGACAGCAGCTAAGCCGAATATGATGCAGCTTTCTTGTTATTTTTAGCAATCGATTTTACAAGAAACATCTTTGCAATGGAGGAGTCATTTCGCCGGATGAATTGATGAAAGCTTCCTTTGAGTTCGCCAAAACTCGTACCCTGTTACAAAATAAGGTCACAGCGCTGTCCAAGGCTATCGATCCGCTGCACTTCTATTTTTTAAAGAGCAAGGAGTTCGTCCCGGTCCTTTTCAAATCATTTCAGGAAATCAAGAGCGATATATTTGCGCTGCATTTGAAGATGCTGTCGCCAGTTTCAGTCGCTCCACCTCCGATGCTCCAGCTGAGCGCCGCAATGGACCGTATGACCATGATCTCTGGTTTACCCAGCTCGGATCCCTTTGACTCTCTAGGCACGATCAGTGTTATCGACGAGGCTGAAAGGATTAACAGCTTGTTAGTACATATTTAAACAATGTAATACATTTTACTAATCACATGTCTGTTTTTTTTTTGTTAGGCTTGTTCGAGAAATGGAAGTCGACCACTGCTAATCTTTCTTGTTTATCCCGAAATTTAATCAAACCGGCATCATCGTGACCTTACGACATTTTTGATTTTATTTTGTTATCGCATACCCAATTGGATATTTTTATGGCTTTAAAGGTTTCACAGAAACTGTAATGCATGTTTTTCATCTCAGACCACTTTGTATTTTGTTCTGTAATAATTCTTTTGTTATCTGCGTAATCATTCGCAACCATATTAAACAAAAATCCATGTTTAAAAAGTGAGTTCTATTTCGGCTGATTGAATTTCAAACTGGGGTAAAATGGTAAACTTTTTTTAGGCTGATGTAGTGCCTTCTTTCCAGATGGCCCTATAGGTGCATTTTTAAATGGGTTGTATATACCTTTATAATTTTTTTTTTATTGAAGTTTGTTATGTTTATAAGCCAATATATACTTTTCTTTGAGGTTGAGTTTTGTGGATCGGTTTCTATTGGTTAAGAACTTCAGTCAGACAAAACAAAAACTTCAAGGTATGGTCTTGTATATAACAGTCGGCTTGATTTACGAATAAACAGCTGTATATAGCTTGGCTTGGTCAATTGAAATGAAACTTGCTGAGGATTGCAATGTCACGGAAAATTGCACATGCGGCAGAACAGAGAATTAGTCGACTTCTGGCCATGCCAGACTTGGCTATAAAAGCGATTCGAGCAGCTTGGCAGCCACCACAAGCCGCAAACGGGTGACCGGTATCGAAGCTTCAGGAGATCGCAGAGAAACACGGAATGAATCGCAACTGGTTGACGGGATTGGTAGTGCTCCTCGGAGTAGTGATGCAGATGGAGGCCAAACCTCCGGCCAAGAAGCCGGCTGAACTGCGTGAGTAATTGTGATCTGGAGTCCTAAACTTTGAAAGAATAATTTAATGGTTTCTTTTCAGCATCTTTTCTCAAGGTGTGCTATCGCGATTCACCGGACCTGAACACCTGCGCTCGGGAATCCTATGAGGCACTGCGACCGCGGCTGATGGAGGGCATTCCCGAGCTGTACATACCGTCCATGGAGCCACTGATCGTTCCGCAAGTGAAGATGGATCAGGACTCCGGCGCCATCTATCTACACTCCGTGTACCGAAACGTCAAGGTCACTGGGATCTCAAAGCACACGGTGAACGAGCTGCGCTTGGAGCCCTCAAAGCTGAAGTTCATTGTGTCGCTGACCTTCCCCAAGCTGCACATGGAATCGGACTACAGCATTAAGGTCAGTAGAGACGTATGAAGTCGTTTCAAAGGTAAAATCCCAAATAACTTAACTACAATTGTTCTGCTATATCAGGGAAAAATCATGATGATGCCGCTGCTGGGCGATGGCCACTGTAAGGTGGATCTGGGTAAGTTAGATGCCAACCTACGACCAGTTCCGATTTATGATAATCTCATCATCCCTCAGTAAACATCACTATGCGCACGGAGCTGATTGGTCAGGAGTACAAAAAGAATGGGGCCAACTATTTGAAGATCAACAACGTGAAGGTCAAGTACGAGCTATCCGATGTGCACATCCATCTGGACAACCTCTTCAATGGGGACAAGGCCTTGGGCGATCGGATGAACGAGTTCCTTAACGAGAACTGGAAGGCTCTGGCCGAGGAAGTGCGTCCGCTGATGACCAAGGCTCTGGTGGATATTCTGAGGGCCTCCGTGGACAAACTGTTTGCCTCATTCAGCTACGATGATCTGCTGCCCAAGGGCAAGAACTAAGTGCACATCATTTTTACAATCTTAATTATTTAATCGTAGTACAAAATATTAGCCTACAAATAAGCACACAATTAAAAGTGAAATAAATTATGAATATAATACAAAAACGGAGAACGAGGTCCTGGCGACCACTAAATCAGCCAAAGTTTGGTGGGCATCTTGGAGAAAACGTTGTTCCAAAGGCCATGGAAGATATCGGCCAATCCCAGTTCCAAATCTGGACGCAGCTCTGCTATAACCTCTTTGCCGTTCTGATTGAGGAACGAGTTGATTGAGGCCGCCAAGACGTCGTTCCCGTTGAAGAGATTCTTAAGGTGGATTCGCATGGCGCCAACGTCGAAGCCCACCTTCATTTCATCGATGTGGATGATCTCGTCCCCGGTGCGGGTTTCATTCCTTAGAGAGATCCTTGTGTACACCGTGGTGTGTACGTTCTTCAACGCCATGGCCACATCGCCACTGCCGATGAGTGGCAGCAGCAGGATATTTCCCTTCAGGTTGTACTTGGCCCGAATTCTCAGCCTTGGGAGCTCCAGTTCGAAGTTCAGCAGACGCCGCTTCAGATCCAAGCTGAATAAAGCCAACCAAAAGTATGGTTTATTTTGTAAATCAATTATATCTTTAGCAAAACATTTATCGGAATATATATTGTATTTTATTTTCTTTACCTTGCTCGTCGAACAGTAGCATTTGATGGTCCACGGATGACCAGGTCTTGGAATCCTCCGGATAGCACCAGGTTGCCACTTCCCTTCGACACCGAAACCTGGTCAATATTTAAAGGTTCGAAACTCTTCACACCGATCTCTGGGATTCCAGCGGCCAGAGCCGGAAAGCATCCCTCGAAAAGCTGTCGAAAGCAATTGTCCTCATTTGGATTGGAACGAGGGCACGTTTGTAGCCATGAAGCTGGGAGATACATTATTTACTTAAAACGTTATTACTCTTACTAAAAAATTTTATTAAAATATTATTAAAAGTCAGCCACATTTATGTCGGCGGTCTTTCCGATCTAAGAGATTTATAATTCCAGAGAGAACTTCCCAATATTATACAATTTTATTTATAAATTTTCCTTCACTATACAATTTTTTAAAAACAACCCAATAAAAAAATGCATTTCAAAGGAAATTATGATTAAAGTACACAACACTTTTCTAAGGACCTTTAAATCCTTATAAACACAATCACTAAACTTTACTTACGCCTCTCCTGCAACGGCAGCTTGTCGTTCACAATTTCGCGAGTATACGCCCCGTGGACTTGTGTCAGGCAGGCCGAAAAGATAACGCCCAAACTAATAGCTAACTTCCAGCATGTTGTGTAAAACATGTTTGCAGGAAATCGAAATCAAATCCTTTGGTCAACACCGAAATTCGGGGCTTTTGATATTTTATCCGTTACACGCGACCGTTAGCGACGATGGCTCGATACCAAGTGCCGGGATAGCCAAGAGAAAAGTCGGACGAAACCATCGAAGGCCAAGACAACATAGTCTTTTTGCTGCCAGTTTTACATACTCTTTTTGCCCGCACTGACGTTACGAATTCCGCAATTTTGGAACTTGCGGCGCTTAGTCGTATACCCGTTTACAATCAACCACTGAAAAAATATTGATGAAATGAGTTTTAAATATAATCTACTAATTAAGAAGTTTATTTAAAGAAAGATTTCAAAAAACTAATTTTAAATTTTTGAAGAAATAAATGCATTTTTTATATTTAAAATAAAATATGGTGGTATAAGATAAGCTGGCAAGTAATAAAACTGAATTAACAAAGTAATTATAAAAACCAGAAAGATTAAGAGAAAATCGTCTTGAATAGAAAGGTACTTTATAATAGTTTATAATGATTAGTATGTGAACAATCTCATTTATATAAGCTTTTCAACTCGTTTAGCTTCATCGTTATCGTTTTTAATTACTACTGGTACTATACCAACTTTCCCAACAGTAGTGCATGCAGCTAAGCCACTTGACCGAATATTTGTAATGTTTTATTTGTTGTATTGATATTTGGGCGTTTATGTTGCTTTTGAATTTTACTTTCGTTTGGCGCGTAAACGCCACCGATTCCCAGGTTGTTTATGTTTATGAACGTTGCGCCACTCGCACGCCAACTCGTCCCCCTGGCCTGCTTCCAGTTCCAGCGAAGTCCCCTCCGAAATTCCCCCCGAAGTTGTTCACCTGTTCACCCGACTACTTCTGGTATTACGCAGACTGGGAGCTGGAGTTGTCTGGGATTGTCGGCGCTGCCTTGCCCCTTCATTGTCACGGGTGTTGTCCGGTTTTCTGTTTGTTCGTGCTCCAATGCCTCGGGCCACAGCGGCTGCTGCTGCCCCCACCAGCCCCCCTTTTCGGCGCCTGTCGCGTGCACTCTGGTTGCAAGTTTGTGTTACGCAGTCTCCCCAATTACCATTTGGCCTAGAGGTGGTCCAGAGACCGGATCGTGAGGGATCCAATAATATTTCTTACTCTTAGTCCTCTAAAAACAAGTCGTGTCTGAAAAAAACATAAAAAATATATTTTGAACTTAGACACATTTAATTCCAAAACCTTTTCAAACTTTAAGAGAACAGTAAACATTTTTTGAATTTCTGAAGTTGTAAAGTTTTATCTTTAAGAATTCATTTAAATTAAGTCTATCTTGTTCTTAAATATTCAAGAATTTCGGGGGTATAAAACCTAATGTATAATTTATTAAAATTGAATTTTCTTTCTTTCCAATAAATTTTAAAACCCTGTGTCATCTCAAACACAAAGTCTATCTTGTTCTTAAATATTCAAGAATTTGAAATTCCAAAACCCTGTGTCATTTTTAACACTGAAGTCTATCTTGTTCTTAAATATTCAAGAACATCAGTGGTATAAAACCTGAAGTATAATTTTTACAATTCAAATTTCTTTCTTTCTTTTAAATTCCAAAAACCTGTGTCATCTCTAGCAATCATATGTCATCTGACAGTCACCTAATTGCCGCAGTTTACGAAAACATAAATATGCTAATTCAACGGTTATGCGATGAATAATCTTTCACCCGCTAAGGTCGGCTCAACTTCAATGTTGCATGTTGCGACATCCACTGAACATCCCAAGTATCAGCCATGTTCATCTCATTTCTTTTGGCCAAAAAGTCGCGTGCGGAAACTACCAAAATAGCCGGGCCTTGCAATAGTTGGCCACTATCTGGGGATTGCGATATCTTTAATTGTAGCTGCTTCCTCACCGACTGGCCCATCAAAAAAAAATTAAATCCAGCAGAAATTGAACAGCTGTCGAACCGGCAAAAAGTTGTCCCACTCGTTGAAATTGCGCAACGTTCAGCTTGAAATACTAACAGGCATTTTATTTTCTTTAAACTTTAAGCGCCGACAAACAAACGAGTTTGATGTTCGCTATCGATTTAGTTTGTTTTCATTTCGCTTCATGTTTTATTGGCGTTTATTTTCACACTTGCTGGTGCATTCCTGGATATCTTTTTTTTTGTGATAATACTGCCCGTCGGATGTCCAAGTGATGCAATCACCGACTTCAGCTCTTTTTACTACATTTTTTGCAATGTCATAAAAGTAAAGAAAACAAATAATTGCAGGGGCTTTCCCACAGCTCTCGGCTAATGTTGGCCCAACCGCAATCCGCACCTGGTCACGTGCAATTGGAGCCAAGAGTTCAATAGCTTCGATTGGGATTTTTAAATTGCCACCTTGGTAGGCAGATCACGCCTCTAATTTTATCGTTTTTTACTCTAATTTAGCTTGTATTTTGGTTGCAACCATTGGCATTGACCGATTAAAAGTTTGGCAAACCCTTAGCCAAAACAATTATTTATAGTATTTTTTAGTTAGTTCTTATGTATTTACTGATGATATATAACTTATAAAGTTATGATAGCCAATACTTTTATAAGGTGACTTGAAACTAAAAGTAGATGTAGATGTCAGGTAAAATATATGATCACACTTATAAAACCGTAAATAGGCCCAGCTTAAAAGTAGACCCCAATTTCTTATAAAGCTTGAGCTCGGTCAAAAGCTTTTAAACATGAAATACTGGTAAAATTGGATTTTTTATTTTTCTTTTTATATATTTTACGACCCCGAAACACGTGATATATGTTGTAATACAATCTTTATTTAGCTTTGATATTTAAAGGTTAAGAGTTATAATAATACTATACTACTAAGTACGATTACATCTAAATGTTCTATGAAAAGGGTGGGTGGGGAAGTGCGAAGTTCACATCGAATATTTAAGCTAGACGAACAAGAGTTATGATAAAGACCTAAATATAACTACATTATAAACGAAGCGATAAACGATATCTGTACACACATATATATTAAACTTCAGGAAAAGGCACATATATATAGAAGTAGATTTGTACAACGAGAATTGCTATTAGTTATTTACAAGATATAAAAACTATGGCCCGTTCGGGCAGTTCTTAACCTAGAAACACCCCGTTTGCGATTCGAATTTAATTGAAAATCTACAATATCATAAAAGATTAATTAAAATTTTTTAGGAAAATGATTTCTGATATAGATAAATTTGATAAAAAAAATAGAATAGCAAACGGGGCTGAATAGGACTAAAGGTAAATAGGTCTAAAGTCTTTTCAATGCCATGATTCCAACGCGGGCTTCCAGTTGGGGTGCAGTTGGTGAGGAGGAGGAGGGAGATCACATCACAGAGCCAGTGTCCAGTGTCCAGAGCCCCTGGATTGAACCTTACGAGGTGGCCATCAGCTTGGCCGCCTGGATGACGTTGTGCTGGTGATGATAGCCGGCCAGCTCACTGGCCGCTCCGCCCGCCATGGCCGCCGTGGAGGCAGCTCCTCCGAGTGCCCCGAAGGTGCCCCCAAAGTAGCAGTTGTTCACATAGTCATAGTTGGTGGCACTCGCCTCCGTTTTCACTCCATAGGCGGCAGCAGCTGCGGCTGCATGTAAATGATGATGTGCCGCCACCGTCACATGATGACCATGGGATCCACCCAGGTGATGGTGATGCTGGTAGTGAGGCGATGGTGTGCCATTGCTCAAGGTGGGCGTCTCGGCACTGTGCGAGGTGTAGGCGGATGCACTGCCTCCGCCCGAAGCACTGCTGCCGGGCGTGTAAAGCTGCGATCCTGCCGCTCCGTGCAGCTGACGAGCACTCAACTGGGACTGGGCGGAGCTGGGCGTCATCCCGTGACCATGCTGCTGGTGCTGCTGCTGCGTCGTCGCCTGGCCGTAGAGGGGAAAGCATTGCTGGTGTGCCGCCTGCTGTTGCTGCTGCTGTTGTTGCTGCTGCTGTTGCTGTTGCTGCTGCTGCTGGGCGCTGTGGTGACCCATCAAGGTGCTGCTACTGCTGGAGCTGCTCTTCAGATCGGCATGCAGTTTTCCAAGGCTATGGCGCTCCAGGCCAAGTGATGGCTTGAGATCTGTAAAGGGAAGAAGGCGATTAGAGTCTTGGTTAATGAGACTAGACTTTACTACAAATGAACTAAGTGAATCATGTTAGCCACCACTTACCGTGCTCTTCCTTGCACTCCTTGATGGCCTCCAAGGTGGATCCCGAACTGGACCCAGTGCCCGATCCTCCCGCGGAGCCACTACCCGTCTTTTTGGGCTTCCGCTTCCTCGTCTGGATGCCATCCTTGCGCATGGCCAGTGGTCGGTTCACGCCGTGCAACTTGTAGTACAGCCCGCAGGCATTGCACACGGGCTCCCCGTCATTGTTCCGCCTCCAAAGTGTCGTGGTTCGAGTGCCGCAGTTGGTGCAGCACAGACCCATTCTTCTGGTGGCAGTCTAAATTAGGAGGAGATTATGATTAACACTGTATTCTTGAGAGGATCAGGCGGGGGGGACTACTCACTGCACTCACCAGGCGCTTGCTGGGCTTGATCAGCGGCCGGTTCATTCCGTTCATCTTGTGGTACAGCCCACAGGCGTTGCACAGGTAGTGTCCAGTTCCATCCCGTCGCCACAGGGGAGTCGATATGGCGCCACAGTTGACGCACTCACGTCCCTCACCAAACTGAAAGTCCATGGCGCTCTCGTAGGGCGATGATCGCTGGAAACCCGAAGGATCGTAGGCACTTCGCCAGGAGCCCATCATCACGGCGGCATTGGGTGAATAAAACTGCGCCGGCAGCTGCGCATGCGCCGATCCAAAGCTGTCCGTTGTCCAGGCATTCTGGGCAGCAGCACTTCCGAAATGGGCGGCCACATGGTTGTACTGGCGATTGGAGGGCACGTAGACCGGAGCATTCACGGCCTGCTGGTGATAGCCGGACACTCCGACTCCCACTCCAGCGCTGGCCGCACTCCCAGCGGCAGCCAAGTCCGTGTATGCCGCTACGGCACTACTGTGATACATCTTTACGGCGGCGGCGTGGGAGGCTGAAGCGGATGAAGATGCGGATGAGGATCCGGATGCGGAGGCAAACGGCAGCGTCACGTTCTGATGATCGCCGCTGAAATGCGGATAGTCGCGGGTCGACAACTGATCCGATGTGGACTGTAATGAGAGGAAAATATATCATTAGTTAGAGGTTTAAACAAATATCAAAAACAATATATAAATTAACATACAACGTATGTATGTATTATAATTATTTTGTTACAATTTAATAGATAACTTATCCTAAAAAAAATTACAAATCCTACTAAAAACATATAAAACGATCAAGGTCTAACAAATTTTACAATAGCATTTTAAGATCCTTAGAAAAATACGATATTATTGTTGATCTTTAAAGTTTCATATAAATGCAACACATCTTGTCAAAAAAGGTAATTACTTAAATTGTATCTAAATATTTAGGAGTTTTAGGTATTTATTTTCGTGAGTTAAGATCAAGTACAACGTACTTGTTATTATAAGTTTTGGACAAGAGGCCTTGACATGGAAAATTAACCAATGATAAAGACCATATTAGGTAAAATGTATTTCTAAAACTGAAGTATGGTAGGACTTCTCCCAGAGACCATTTGACATCCCATTCCATCCCTTTTAGGTATCTTTCCCCAGCTCTCATTTCCATCTCTTTCATGCAGGGACTGCCATTGGACGCTCTGCCACTTGGGCAACTCCCCTTAAGTGGCAGCCATTTTGGATTCAATTCTTGCTGCAGCTCCTGCGTCTGCAGCTCTACCTCAGCACCCCTCCTCCGGCTTTACCCCCTCCCCCGAATTGGAACCCGTTTTCCCGGACTGCGCCCTTTCAGTTACCAACTCGAGTTAATGGCGCTCTCTGCATCTCGCATCTCGCACTGCTCGTGTATCTTGGCATCCGTGAGTTTGTGCATCTGTATCTTTGGCTTCGCAGCACTTATCTGGTGCGTAGGTACTTCGATTTCTGGGGGGAGGGAGAGCAGGCGGAGGGACAGGCCATAAAGTGTCATTTGCAGGCACTCGGTACTCAGTTTGAAATTATAAAT